GGGGGGGGGGCGTGAGAGGGGAGGGCAAGAAGGCGACACCCTCCCCTGTAAGAGCACCGCGAGCGGCGAGCACATGCGCCCTTTTATAACCCGGGTAAGGGACAATACACGACTGGCAGGGGGAGAGAAGGGAGGGAGGGTGGAGGGGACCATTGCATTGCACCGCACCGGATTTTCATAACCTCACCACGGGCCGCCGCCAAAAGCCAACTGCCGCCGTGGAGCGAAGGGACTCGTTGAGAAAACTGTATGTAAAACTGCGCGGAAAACCCGCTACGGAGTCCAGGCGAGGAGGAGATGGGAATGTACGGGAGGAAAAGGAGAGAGTGGTGTAGACGGTGAGAGGCGAAAGAGACAGAGAGCGAGTGAGCGAGACTTGATTTGATTTATTGCACCCAAAATTTTGGTTACACACTGCAAAGGGAGAGGGAAGAGGTGGGTGGAGGAGAAGGGAGGAAGGAAAGGGGGGAAGAGGTGACCATCGCTCGAGAAGTGTTTGGCAGCGGTATGAGAAATTGCTCGTGCGCGGCTCTGAAGGCTCTGCGAGTCCACTGTCAGTCCTATTCGTAGAAAGGGAGCTTTTCAAGGAAGACAGGTCGGGCAATAACTTTGGGCCGCTCCCGCCTCGCTAGAGACGCGTTATTCTATGCGGGCTGCGTCCGCGGCGGCTGCGGCTGCGGCGCCCCCCCGCAGAGGATCTTCTCTCCCTCGCTACGCGGAGGCGGCCCCGGGGTAGTGCCGGGCGTTATGCGTCCTGCTATGCCGGTGGTACGAAGGTGATGGTCGTGCTGCAGTCCTTCCTCCTGCTCCTCCGGCCAGCTTTATTGGGTTTGGCGCTCTGCCGCTCTCTTGCGGTGGCGCCGTGACAATGACAGTTGTTTGTGTCGCCCCTAAGCGACTCGCGCGGCTTCGTGTTGTTCATGGTGCCAGCGGGTCCACCAGGCTCTGCCCACGAGGACGACGACGAGCAGGTGTTCCTATGGGCGGTGGCGGTGACGACGACGGGCGAAATAAGGACAATGAGGCCGGACTGAAACTGATGAGGTATGCCTCTGGAGAAGCTCGATGATAATCGTCGATAACCCAAAGAAATGCACGGAAAAGAGCTGGCCTGCCTGCAAGAGAGGATGGCGAAGGCGACGACGAGGCGTGTGGCGAAGCTGGAGGCGGAAGGCAAGAAGTGTCCCTCTCCTTTCTCCAGGCAGCGCGGGAAATATGAAAATGGTTGACGTCGGCCGAGTTTATCGCCGGGCTCTGGGTATCGCTCTGGCGGCGGCCAAGGCCGGGGCCGTGAGGAGGGCCCAAGAGAGGTAGGCCCCCCGCCGGCACCGTGCGGCCGACCGTGCCCGACCTACCCGGACAGGAGACACAGGACGGCCCCCGAAATGGAAGTGTGTGTGTGTGAGCGTGTCTGTCGTGGCGGACGGCTGCGTACACACTCGGTCCGACCGCTTATCTGTGGCCCGGTGTCTCGGTGCGGCCCCGCTCGCTCTGTGTTGCTGCCCAGCCGCCGCCGCGGCACCGTTCGTTTCACCACCGCCTCCTCTCAAACGGCAGCGTCAAATAACGGCCCTATAACCGACAACCGGGTCAAGTCGTGAGCCTGTGTCGCTGTTCGCACTTCGATTCTTGTTCTCCCCCCCCCCCTCCCTCCACCCAATCCGTACCTCCCGCGCCCTTCTCTCTCTATCTCTCTCTCTGTCTGTCAGAGCCCTGGAATGAGCGAGCCCGGGCGCTCGTTTCCAAAACGTGGTGTGAGGTAGGGTAGGTAGAGGTTCTGTAAAGTCTCTCGAGCTGGGAGTATCGACGGTCTACCGGCGAGCCGGGCGCTCGCGTCTCTCTCGCACTCGCCGCTGCTAGATACGTCTGTCTCTGTCGCCCCGACTGAGCGTCGCCGGCTCAGTGAGCTGAGCTGAGCTGAGCTCACCCGGAGATGAGCTGAGCGGCTCTGAGCCTATGCCGGTAGGTGGCGCGGCGTCGCATGAGCGTCTAGGCTCGCTCATTCCAGGGCTCTGCTGTCTGTCTTGCTCGTTCTGCGGGCG